CTAAGCCACTCCAAATATTAGTATAAAATCTTGTTTCGTGTAATAAGTAGTAAACCTATAAGATTTCACATAACTTTACAACTTTTCAAGCAAAGCGACGTCCATCTTACACACCAAAATATAGGGTAGAATGAGCATAATTTCATTGAAATTGAAGGTGAGGAGCGTCTTCTGGATAAGTATCAAAATTAGATTATTTACATATAATTTAATATGAAAAAAATGCCAGTAATATTCACCTGAGTGTCAGAATCAGAGACAACAAAGTTTAAAAGTTACCATACCAGTAATACATGCAATTCAGTTCGACCATTATATTATATTAATAAATAAAAAATCAATTTTATTTAATTTTTTCAATTACTTTCAAAGTTTGTTGTTAAATAAATAAAACAATAAATATTTTAAGAAAATTATATGTGTATAATCAAATATATCTATATAAATAGTTCGTATGTCATTAATATGATCTTTTATTTTATATTTTTAGTATCTTAATAATTACCTGTAAGGCAGCGTTCTTTATGAAAGCGCTTGTATCAACAATAAGATATTGTATTTTATTCTTATTTTCCATGATTACGCATGGATTATATTTTCTTCTTCGATATTTTTATATTCGAAAGATTCTTCTTCTTAAGACTATTCTGGATTTCTGACCCACTAGGAAGAGCAACAATACTACAAAAAAGATCGAAAGATCCAAGCCTATATGTACATGGTAGAAGCTAGAGTACATCAATTCCTATTGAAAATTTGTCGTTGACTTCAGCGCTATCTAACATAGTACAATAAACTACGAAGCCAGAAAAGCAATATGGCGCCTAAATTGATTTAAAATCGAGCACACTTAAGGTGCAGCCACAATAGAAGGAATAAGGAATTAAGAATAAGGAATATAAGGTTTTCAACCTATCAGATATTGGATACACTGAAATACACGGTTTCTGATAGATTGGAAATACATGGGATGTATTTTTTTCATAGAACTTATACTACTGGAAAGGAAATGCTCATAATGCTCATAATGGGGGGGGGGGGGAGTACTTATAATGCTATCTTCATGGGTTAAAAAACTGAAAAATAATAAATATATCTTTAAATAAATAAATTAAATAGAGGTCATATACATTTATATATATATTTTTTTTTTAATATAAAAATAATTTACAATAAATTATGATTTTCTGTACAAACCTTAATGTCGCAGCAACACGAGTTTCTGTTGATAAAGACTCTCTGCGACTTTTCTTTTGCAGCTTTGATTTTAAGAGATCGTGTAAAATGTTAAATTGTTCCACATTGACATTCTTGTAAATTTAAAGAATTCTTGATGATTACTTAGTTTAAAATATCTAAATAATTTTGCATGACCACCATAATTATCTCTCATAGTAAAAAGATATGTGGCTTCACCCACCGTTTATTCCACATTTTTCGTCTTTTTTTAAACAATATAATTATTTTTAAAAAATATTCCTAAATTGTTAACAAATTGTAATAAATACCCACAACTTTATCCATAATCTTAACACCGATCCTTATATCAATACGACTAAATATAGAATAAATGTCGGATCAAGTTTCTACGACATATGAAGTACGATTAGCACACCGACTACGGCGTATTGTGTAACAGACTTCACACTACGTACGATATCCGTCATATGACATCCGACATTCATCGTAACAAACTAATAGCGTTTTCGGCCCAACCAAATTTGCACCAACCTGAGTTGAAGTAATGATGTTTCGTACTTTTCTATTGGTAGAGCGTGAACGTTAACTAATAGCGAAGCATTTTCTAACCCAAGTTGGTACAAACCCGGTCGGGCCAAAAACGCTATAAGAATGACACCTGCAGAACACCCGAGAGTCTGAACATGAGCTAATTGGCGTTAGCACTTAGTAGTATTAAGCGGGGAGCAGAGACTCTTGCATAACGCTTAACACATAAGGCATAAGGCAATTGAACCAACCAGAGTTCTTAGGTTTGTTCGCGTCGCACGCTTCATGCCCAACACGCTTCAATACGTTCGCGTTACCGGAATCAATATGGGGACCAGATATTCGTGTTAGAGCATACTCCATGGATCAAGTAAAAGCATGCTCCATTTGCCTTATCTCAGAAGGTGGTACGATTGGAGCATGTTACGCACGCATACGTAATGGTTGAAAACATACTGTATCGAAAAAAGTATTTCAGATTTATTTTGTATAAAAACGCATTCAATAAATGCGTTTTTGATATAAATACAAAAATATAATATATATTATATATATAT